TAGGACTAAACCAGAACTAAACCAGGACTAACCCAGGACTAAACCAGGACTAAAATAGACAAGTGCATTGTTGTTTCAGTGATGGAAAATAGAACAAAAAAAAGTGTATTTATGTAAGGTAGATAAACTTACAGAACTAATAATCAATTAGTCAATACACAAAGTACTACTGCCAAAACTACAAAGTACAGTTGTTAAATTGAAACCAGAAATCTCATATTCTCTGAGCTCTGGCCAATCAGAGCAGGCGATACGGTGCCTAAAAGTACAAGTACACCCTTAAATATCTACTTTAAAAATACAAAAGTACCCCAACAACTACTACTGCTACTACTCAATTATAGTAACTTGAGTATTTGCTCCTTTCCACCCCCACATGTATGCATTATAAAACCAATGCACCTTTTCAAAAATAGCCCGTTTTCATGTCTTCTCTCCTCTTCTCCCTGCCCCCCTCTCCCCCTCTCTCTCTCTCCCTCTCTCTCTCTCTCTCTCGAGCCCAAAACCCATCGCCACTTCCTGGACCGACTCACGCACACCCACGTACCCCCCGCTCCCTCATTATATCATGTGCAACCAAAATAAATCAGTGAATAAGACTTGTGGCTGCAGGGAGAGGCTCACTATACTGACGACGAGGCCTGTGCTGGGAGGAACAGGCTGCGGATATCCGGGTCACAGCTGAAAGTTGACATTTGAAAAGGAAAAAGCTCAGTTATGAAGTTGGAAAGCCTCAAAAATTTGAGATATTGCAACTAAATCTAGATATAGAGGAAAAAAATGACATAATTACAAAAAATGCTGTTTGGAAAAATAAGAATATAGAATGGACCAACTCCTTAAAGTCCTATATTACATAGAATTTACTTTTGTGACCTTTAAGCCATGTTATAATGTTGTTACCTCATCAAAAACTTACCTGGAGTTGTGTTTTGTTTCATTCACACATGTTTGAATAACCCTCAAAATGCGCTGTTCCACCTTGTGATGTCATGAAGCACTAGTTTTTCCATTTAACAGCTACTTTTTACCATTTGTTTAGTAGAAACTGGCAAGTCCAGAGCTGAAATTATCCAATGAATGTATATGAGCACTTTCTGTATCACCACATGACATCACAAGGCGGGACAGAGTGTTTTCAGTTTGAGAGAAGAACTAGAAAGACCAAAATATGCAGAATTTAAGTGTTAAACATGTGTGAATGAAACAAAACACAATTCCAGTTCTGTTTGTGATGAGGAAACAACATTATAACAAAGATCAGAAAATAGCGGAATATGGGCCCTTTAAAGCATCATTAGTAAAAATGATTCTAGATATTGCGAGTAAATCTAGATGTAGAAATTGATATAATGAAAATGCATAGTTTTTGCACAAATTTGAAAATCAAATACATTGCATACATACACTACTGGTCAAAAGTTTTAGAACACCACACTTTTTTCTGTTTTTTTTTTTTTTTTTATTGTTTACCGTTGACCAAAATGTATTCTAAACTTTTGATTCATGAGAGTAGCTACTTTTGGCAGATATAACAGCTGAACACACTCGTGGCTCTTTCTTTTTACAATAGAAATCAAATATTCCTCAGAAAGTTCTTCTCAAGTCTGTTGCAGAAGTTCCCATAAATGTGTGGCACTTGTAGGTTGCTTGGTTTTCACTCTTCTGTCCAGTTCATCCCAAATCAGTTCGAAGGGGTTTAAGTTTGGACACTGTGCTGCTAGACACTCCATGTTTTTTCCTGAGGTACTTTTGGCAGAGCTTGGATTTGTGTTTTGTTATCTTTTATCTTTTTTTTTAACCTCTGGCTGTTCAGTTCTTACCTTTGTTCCATTTCCATCTCTTCATTGGACTTGCACGACTTGAATTGCAATAAATAACTGGAAAAATTAGGGTGTTCTAAAACTTTTGACCGGTAGTGTAATTGGGTGCATTTATACTTTCACAGATGTATCGAAACTAATCCTGGACTAGACCAGAACTAAACCAGGGCTAGAAACCAGGTCTGCTTCAGGACTAAACTGGACTCAAACTCGGCGCACTCTTTATACATTGAAGTGAACCAGGGGTAGACCACTATCTCACAGTCAGTCCACTCTTAGCATTCAGCTCTCACTTTTGGGTTTGCGATCAATAAAGCACTTCATATGTATTCATTTACAAGAATAAAATAACTGCATCTTTAAAAGTGCATTGTGTTTCTGGTGGATCTTCCTGTTTCTACAGATCAAACTTTTTTTTCTGGGGACCCATATTTTAAAAGTCACAAATCTTCGTGACCCAAGTCAATAGACATTATTCGTCAGTCTTAAAATAAAGGAGGATTTGACCATTATTGAACATTAATGGGGAAATGTTATTGTTGACTGAGTGATTGTGTCTCATGGAACAATTAGTTGCCTATTTGGATATTAAATGTAGCCCATGTCTTTTTCTTTTCAACATTTATTTGAACCAGCAATACTGTAACAAAATAGTCAATAAAATAATTACAAAAGGATTAGAAATTATACAAAACATTTCAACATTTCTAATGAGATAGGTGGGCCTGTCTGCGTTTTTGTAGAATGTTCCAATCTGGTGTGCAGGAGGAGAGCGCAACATGCACATCAGTGTCAGAACTGTATATTGTAGATCTGCATGCAGATTGTGACAAGGCAACCCAAAAAAAAAAAAAAAAAACTCTCTTGGACCCAGTCTTTGGGAAACAATGCTATAGATTATTGCTCTGCCTGGAATGTTCCACAGTATGACATTAAACAGCTCTACTTCATATTTATTCAATTACAGGTGGTTTTATAGCTCAAAAATATCTAGAAAAACAGACATTCTGACTGTGAGTGGTGTTGCCTCTCCACAGATCTGACCTGTAACTTGGTCTGGTTTGGTCTCCATGAAGATAGAAAGGTTTAATACTATACTGTGAAACATTCCAGTCAAAGCAGCAACATCTCCATGGAGAAAAGCACCAGAAAAGTTACACAATGCACCTTTGATACAAAACTAAGGTATACCTCATTTCTAGTCAAGTGTATGTTTGAAAATTTCACCAGAACCACACCAAAGCTGGACTATTCCTCCTGAAATGACCCATCCATTTTATTAGTTTACAAGTAGACACGCAGTTTATTCTCCACATGCAGGTAAATAAATGAAAGCAATATTGTATAGAAATCAATAGGTAAGTGTGAGGCGCCTGCTGCCATAGAGGTCTTATTAGAATGAATACCCACAAAGCTACAATACCGACAAACATCAAAATGCATGAGGAAAACAGCACCTGCTCTCTTGTATATCTGCAGGTCACTGAGCTCTATCCATTCTTCTGTAGACAACATAGCGGCGCACATATCAATACAGAAATCCTTGTTTACAGTGCATTTGGCCACACCCACTTCCCCATCACCCCCCGAACACTGCACAACAGCGAGTAACAAGCCAAGAAGCAAGAGGTGGGTAGTACTCAGATATCTAAGTACATATAGTATAACTCATAAAAGAAGTAGTACTCGTTTTATTGTTGACAGTATTAAATCATTTGAACTTTTTCTAGCATAGAGCTAGAAAAAAATACAATCAAATACGATATATATTGTGCCTTCCTTTGTTTTGTGTTTCCAATTTCAGTCGAGCTAAACCAGATTTAATCAGGTATTGCAAGTGAATATAGATATTAGGGGTCTAACGACATCCAAGTCTCATGATACAATATCGTCACTGTATGAACCTCTCGGCACAGTATTTATTATGATATCGTGGGAAAACTCACAATATGGCTGGGAGGCTCACGATTAGGGATGTAACAATATCCAAATCTCTCTGTATGATGTTTTCACAATATACATCTCATGGTACGATATTTATTGCGATATTTTGTGGAGGCTAACAAAACTGTTAATATGTTACTTTTTTCCTTTTAAAATGCCCTGACAATATTTAATCCAAAGAACTAAGACTTAAAAGTGCTTATTTCTTCATGAAGTCTACACTGAAAAAGAGCAAAGGATCATGGTCTATGTAGTTCACTCTGTCTTTTTTTAGTTATTGTTGCACCATAACTCTTAATTTAAGCAAAGAGACTTGTAATTCAATATATTGTGATGGTCCATGATATTATTGTGAGAACTTTGACGATACGATATCACGATCTTTCGGTTACTGTTACATCCCTAATAGATATAGAAACTGATGTAATGAAAATGCTAAGTTTTTGCTCAAATTCGAATAGCAAATCGCACATGTTTTTGGGTGCGTTCATACTTTTACATATCAAAATTTGGATTAAACAGGTTTTTTGGAACTAATCTTGGATTGGACCAGAACCAAACCAGGACTAGAAACCAGGTCTACATCGGGACTAAACTAGACTCAAACTCTTCTTTTCTTTTGCATTTCCAATTTCAGTAAAGCAACACGTTTGGAGTTGGCATATCACCTGCTTGATTCCATGGAATTACAACGTTAAAACCATATTTTGGAACATTCTTCATGGAGACAGTGAAGCTTCATTCCATAATGTGGAGCATTTCCATAGAAACAAGCAGGAAGAGGTCTTTTTGGCTAAAAAGTTACGCACATGGGGTTTTAACTTCAAATATTAAATCAAATGTTCTACCAATGGAACATGACTTTTTGCAACTGAAACAGGAAAACACATCTAGTTATACTGAAGATAAGAAAAACAACAGCTCTTTGTACTTAAAATAAGAAACTAAATCTAAAACTAAAATACACTTACTTCATTAGTAGATCATTTTATGTCAAGTAAAAAAAGTAAAAAAGTTAAGTAAAATCTACCCAATTCAAATAAAATCTTCTTTTGAGTAGAGTCATTTGAACGTACTTAGATACCACTTTTTTGCAGTGTAGTAGTTGTCTCGCCATTTTTGATTTTTAAACTCTTGACAGATTTATTAGTTACGGTACAATTTTGGCTGCCCACCTCTTTATGTAACCACCTTTGATGACCATGTGTATATAAAAAAGCCAGCTTTACTTACGCAGGTTTGTGGTCCTGGAGACAAAATGCTGTGAGGTCATCCCCAGCCCCTCCTCTCCTCTGAACTGCTCAGTGGGACACCCGCCCTGGAGCACACTGGCCACAGCCCTGCCACCAAACACAGGTGAGACAGGTCAGAGGAAGTACTCATTGTATACCATCTGAGTGGAAATATTATGAATGAAATGATTGTGTAGCAAAGTATAATCTGAGAATTCAATATTTGAACTTGGAGGTGTACTGCTCAACTCTTCTGGTGGAGAATCTCCCACCTGCTTGTCTCCATGTAGATGTTTTTGCTTTACTACAGTATGACATTAAACATATCTATCTAGCATTTACTCATTACGGGTGTTTCTATTGCTCAAAAATACAATAATTCCTTCTGTGAATAGGAGCCACTCTCCACAGATCTGACTTGTAATGTAGAGTAATCCTGAAACCTGCATGTCTCCATTGTGATAGGTAGGTTTAATCTACAATGTGGAACATAGATAAAGCAAAGATAAAGCAATAACATTTACATGGAGACAAGCAGGTGGTGGACCCTTCACTAGAAATGTTATACAGTGCACCTTTAAAGTTACCAGAATTTTGGACATAGGACCTCATTTCCTAGTGAGCCAGAGTGTTTGAGATGTATGGAGACACTTTTTAAAATATTCCATCCAGTCCTTGTATTTACAGAGGTCGCTGGTGCTAGGCTAGTGCATGTCAATGGCCATAGTTAGCCTGCCAAAAACAGTTTTACCCACTCCACAAAGCACCCAAGGCAAAGGAATTATTACGCTAGACTGTCTATCTGTGCTGATAGAATAATTTTAGAAGTAAAACCAACCTTGCATTTGAAGGATTTCTGTCTGAGCTTCCAGATGGAAAGCTTGGCAGCGGCGGACTGATATCACTGAGCACCTATCTTACTGGCAAAGAAATATAGAGAATAGTCCCTCAGCATCTCGCAATTCATGTGAATCAAGGTTAGTTTCATTTCAAACATTTACATCAACATTCTGGTTTAATAATAGATTTGCTTCGGGTGTTTTGTGGAGTGGGTAAGACTGTTTTTAGTGGCAGGATAACTATGGCCATTGACAGGCACTAGCCTAGCACCAGCGACCTCTACAAATACAAGGACTGGATGGATTTTTTTTATTTTTTTTTAAGTGTCTCCACATGTCTCCAACACTCACTAGGAAATGAAGTCCTATGTCCAAAATTTCGGACTGTCCCTTTAAACTTTGAAGAGAGGAGCTTCGTACCAGTTAATAATATTGTTCCATCACCAAAAACATGTCTGGAGAAATTTTAGATGTCATCCATGCATGTTTGAGTAATCTAGCAATCTTTCCCAGGCTCTATTTGATCCCTTCTTACGGTTAAGCATTACAGTCACGTCACCTATGCTCCTGCGCAACTATTTTCCATAAATATACAAAAGTATGATACAAAAAAATACACTACAACTTCACAAACCTGATGCAATGTGCAGTCGCTTCGTTAAAGGGATGCACACTGGTTTTATACAGTGAATATAGCATTTTCAGAACAATAAAAGCTAACAAGGTGATCTAAATATGTTATGTGTTAGCAGTTAATACCCACCCAGTAACAGTGTAATACGCTCTCTTTAAAATACATAGATCTTACATAACTTCCTTCCTGCCTTTTTATTTTAGACCTGTCAAAATGTTCACAAAGTAGTAACTCATTTTTGGATAAGACTTCCAGAGTTCACTCCCCACATGCATCCCTGCTTCTTTCAGCTTCGTAAATGGATTTTTCTAGAAGTTTTATATTTGTGCAATTTGAAGACCATATAGTAGATGTCAAGATGTTGAAAGATGTTAAAGACTGAAATCCTGGTAGTATTTCATGACAGTATTTTAATGGGTTCTTAAACACGAAAAACTGATTTGATTGGTGGCTCTGTGTTCTATTTTAAACACATGGTGCCAATATGCAGGCAATTTGAGAAGCGCATGGATAAAGTCAGTCTATTGAAAGTGACATATACTTCGCAGCTCATCCACACTGTGTTGTAGTACGTTAAAGACATCCCATTTCTCTCACTCCACCTTAAATTCAGTCTCTGTCTTGTACAATACCCATGCTACTTTGACAAACGCGATATCGTATTATTAACAGTGGGAACTCATTGTAGAAATTGTAGCCGGTGGAGTCAAACGCATTACAAGACTGACTACAGCTAACAATCTAATGTGCCATTTTGTATCTATGTATTTTCACACATTCAAACAGCTCACAGTGCAGTCATTGAGTTTTACGTTTTGACGTTTTGTTTGCTCTCTTGTAGAATTACCAAAATACAATAAAAAGTTTGCAATAATCACGAATTTCTGACGTGATTTGTGTGATTTCAATTTGGCTTTATTACACCATTGAAGTTGTACTGCGAAACATTTCTAGTGGAGGGTTCGCCAACTGCTTGTTTCCATGGAGATGTTTTGTTTTGCATGGAACTTTCTACAGCACGGCATTAAACGCACCCATTTCCAAAGAAGCAAGCAAGAGACACTACAAATATGGGTGTGCAAAAATATCAAAATATTTATATATTGTATTGTTTAATGTGATTACAGGGCTACAGTTTTGTTGCTTGTTCAGAGGAAGGAAACTTTTTCACAGTTTTGATGAGTTAAATCGGTGTATTTCATATTCACTTTGCACAAGAGGTGGTTTGACAAAGACTTATTGAAAGATATATTGAATCAATTTGAAATATAGCATATCAAATTGAAAGTGCATTGTTTCAAGTGCATTTTGAGATATGTATCATATCATGGCCAATGTATCGAGGTATGTATCGTATCGGCAACTTCTTAATTATACCCAGCCCTAGATACAAACCAAGTTACTGGTCAGATCTGCGGAGAGGCGACTACGCAGACAATGAGAACGCATGTTTTTTTAAGGTATTTTTAATCAATAATAATACTTTTTATCCATTTAATGCTCTGTGACAAAGTTTTGAACATTCCAGAAAACGCAGTAACGTCTCCATGGAGACAGTTAGGTTGTGGACCCTCTACCTGAAAAGTTGCATAGTGCAGCTTTAAGAATGGAATGGCCAGTGTAGGGAAGAATACTTTGGAATGCAGGTATTAAGTATTCTGTAATTTTTGATGTATTTTCTTACAGAGTACTGCAATCTGAATACTTACAATACTCCCACTGAAAGGCATTATATTATGGATGTAAACAGAACATAAGGTTGAAACAGCTAAGTGTTTTTATGCATGTATTTACCACTTATTAGAGAAGGAAAAAATAATACATGCATGCAACTGCTCCCTTATGCTGGAGAATGTGAACCCTCATTTGCATCAAGTACCACAATGCATTTCTCTGATTATAGGGAAGCAATTGTGTTTTGAAATCCACCAAATGAAACACCAAGACTGTACCAAAATACAGTCTCTCAAAATGTGCATTCTGAAGTCGTATTTTCGGTACAGTTTTACTTTCGAACACTGGGAATAGCACACAAAAAATGTCAGTTTGGCTTAGTTTAATCTTAGTGTGAATCAATCTAAAATGTCACTAAAACAAGTTTATTTACGACACGCTCTACTCGATTCTATCAACAGTCGCCTACATCTGATATTTCATGGGAACTACTCTCTTGTCTCCCCTCTCCACTCTCCGCTCGCTCCTCTCTCCAAGTAAACAAGCGCACTCCGTTCCACAGACGCACCGCGCTGGTCCGCCTTCGCCCGCGCCTCACCTGGACATGTTTTCTCGCTGCGGCCGGTGCGCCTTCTCCAGACCGAGCTTCGTGAAAATCCCCACCAGCGCCATGATCGCCACCACCCCGCAGATGATGTACACTATTAAGTTCGTCTTGTCTTTGGTGCTGTCTCGCATCTTGTTCATCTTATTGTACGGCGTCTGGCCCGTCTTCATCCACACCGGAGTGTCGTAGTTCTTGCAGGTGCTCTGGTCCAGGCGCGAGTGCTTGTAGGAGCAGCAGAAGCGGAAGCCACAGGTGCCGCAGCAGTACAGGTAATTGCCCGTTTTGCAAATAAACGGCGGATCCCACTGGCCCATCACGTCGTAGTAGCCCCTGCACTTGTCCTCGACGTGCGGTGTCTCCTCGGACGCGCTCACCTCCTCCTCCCTGGAACCGTTGGAGGTGGCGATCATCACGAACCCGCCGAGAAGACCCGGCTCTCCGTCAGCCTTGCACACCAGAGCCGTGAGTTTGAGCAACAAGAAGCCCAGGAGAAAGACGTATTTCCCTCGCATCGTGCTTTCCCCGTTACGCGAAAACACTTGGAGAGGTGGTGTCTGGCGAAAAGTCCAGGAACGTACATCCAAACGCGGCGCGCGGTGGCATCTTCTCGCGAAATAAACCTGTAGGATCACGTTGAGTTTTCTCCCTCGCTCTAAACTACTGCCTCTTCTTGTCTACCGTATGGTGTTGTGAGGAGCGCATGACTTGGACACATCCATCGGCGCGCTCTTTACGCACAGTGGCGGGTGAAAGAGAGAGAGAGAGAAAGAGAGAGAGCCTGGTGCGCACGGGAGAGGATGGAGAGGAAGAGGAGGAGGAGGAGAGAACAGAGTCGGTTTGGAGAGAGAGGCAGACGTTGGAGAGTGGAAGACTATAAACGAGAAAGAGACACAAAGGAGAGAGATTCATGCGCTTTTACACTTGGAGGTGGTGGCCATTGTTTGAAGAATTCTCACAGCGTAATTCTGAGCAACGAAACAATATAAAGACAACTGAACCATTGTTGTAAATATGACAATAAATATATTTAATTCGTTTTTCCCTATTTTCTGGTCATTTGGGATTTTCATAGAGCGTTGAATCAATTGGACACGTTACATTAAGGCCTATTGCATACAGTTCTATCCAAAATTTGTTTTTACTGAAATTAAAATTATTGGGCACATAGTCACAGGTACATATACTTGTAAACTTGTATCGTATAATGATAAATAGTATAAAATAGACATGTCAAACTCAGGCCCAGGGACCAAATTTGGCCCGCAATATAAATATATTTGGTCCGCGAGATCATATCAAATCTGTATTAGAGCTATAGAGACATTATTTAATATTTTGTTATTATTTTATATTATGCATGTTCTGGATTCAGTGTTTAAGCAAAACTATTATTAAAGATTTATTTTAATAAGAAAAGGTTTAACATCATGTATCTCGAAAGAAGAGAAAACATGCAGATATGGTTGAAATTTTTCAATAAATATTTAGTTTGGCCACGACTTAGTTCCAGTTTTTAATTTTGGCCCTCTATGAATTTGAGTTTGACACTCCTGGTATAAAATATGTGTATGATTCACAACAGTTATGCTAATTTGAAGGTACCAACATATTTTTTTCAAGATGGTTACCAATAATCAAGCATAATTGGAATCTTATTTTAGTTTTAATGCAAGATATTTTTATTTTATTTTATTTTATTTTATTCCCTAATCTTTCATGTCTTTGCAATAGGGGGACCTTGGACAGTGACCAGGGATTTTCAGCACCATGGAGAGAGGCCCTTTGAAAACGTGTCAGGGAAACTAATTAGACTATTAAATAAAGTACAGTTTTAGCCCTAGATTTGATAAAATAATACAGATAAATCCAATATGTTATTATGTGTTATTTAAACGTGTCGCAATGTGCATTTTCACACGTCTGAAGTAGACTGGTTCAACAGGTTGTACAGTACTGCCCGATAGCGTCACTGGGGGCCGCTGTGGGAGGATCCGGCTGGTGCGCACACTCAGAGCGGCGGAGCTCCGAGTCCCACAGCGAGGACACAGGGCAGAGGACAAGAAGACGGGAGGACACATCACTTTTGAACAACAAACCGCATCCGATCGGACTCATGGCTGTCAACGAGTCGGATATCTTTCTCAGGGCGACGCAGCGCACGTTCCGCGGGCTGACTGAAGGTAAGTATTAGCATGTTAGCCAAACTTCCGAGCTAACCCCTTCAGCTATCCTGAGCTCGGTGCGCTCTCATCGGCTCTGTGACAAGCGCCGATGGCTCTGCAAAGTTACAGAAGTGACCTAGAAACATGCACGGAACAAAATCTGTGTCATTTTGAGGTTGTTTTGAACTTCCTTTAACACGGGAGCTAACGGGATGCTAAGTGCTAACGCGTTGGCAGTAGTTTGCATAACACCTGTCTTGTGTGAAAGAAGTATTGTCAGCTGCTTTAAACCAGTCGTATAACACTGTGCTTATCTAATAGTCTGTCATACATCGTTTTAATATGTCCACTGAAGCGTAGTCACTGTAAAAAATTTACTTTACTTGATTCTTTTTGAGCTACTCGAACTTCTGTTACAAAAGCCATAGAACTGATTACCGCTACTACAAGACCTTAATTGACCTTTTACTTGTGGCCAATTGAGAAGTGAAAGAAGCCTAATCATGCTTAGTAATGAACTACTTCAAATATTTTACTTTTACTATGTTTTAGTTTGGAAAATGTATAATGTCACAGATGAGGTTTTGGAGATATGCCAAATTTTAATATTCCATATATCATCTATAATTCAAACTTTTGTAAATAATGTCTAGTGTAATCTCCCAGACAATAGTATAAATAGTACAAAGTGATATTTCTGGACTTTTTTGTGTAATTTTACAGTCCATTCGTGTTTTTTCACCCATTCCTAATTTTAGTGCGGGATAATTCTGAGTAATAAAAACAGTATAATCGTCTGGCGCTGGACCTTCCACCCTTATTTTGCCACTTTTTTCTTACTATGATTTTTCATTAGCGCACACTTCGGGACATTACAAGTATGGGTTTTTTTATTTCAACTTGGCCCCGTTCAGTGTCAGGTCCCCCAGAACCCCTTCTGAGGGACCCATCTTGTGTGAAATGATTTGAGTCTGTTGAAAGTGGTGCTATAGTCACATACAGTGTCACATAGTCACGAAATCAGGAACAAAGAATTCAAACATGATAAGGAATGTAACATTATAACCTTTGAGAGGTTTATCTATTTCTGTTTACAGTTATTAGACCATTTATAGAAATAAATATTTAAAAATTGCAATCTCAAGCACAAATCTTCTCCACAAAGTAACTGACTGTGACACATTAGCATTGAATAGAAAACTTGCCCAATTTGTCAGCTTCAAATAAACCCCAAGATGATCTCAGTGAGATTTTAGTTGTGTATCTTTTATAAAACTGAGTTTTGGGGGGTTTAAAAGGAGGACGGGGTCAAAATCATACACAGCAGAAAATAACGACTTCCTTTAGCCACAGACTTTGGACTGTTTGTGGTAAATTTTTATATTTTATTGCAACATTTTATACTTCATATACACATTTTGTACGTATATCAATTCTTTTTAGACAATATGTTATAAATGTGTAAGATATGGTCAATGTAACATGAGTGTAAAGCAACATCATTGTAATTGTGAGACATGATCAGTGACATCATTCTCTTAGAGTTCAATCACTTGTTATTTATTGAAGCATAATCTTGTACTTATTTAGTGAAATTTGCGCTCATATCTATGGATTTTCATTTTCATGTGGTCCTGTCTCAGGTTTAACGCTACTGGCACAGTAGAGTACAGTGGTTAATAATGTTATGTGTGGCACTTCATGTTATACGGACAGGTGGTGAAGTCTGTGATAAAACCCTGGATAGGGACAAAATGTTAGCAGCTAGCATCCTTACTTTTTATATTCAAACACACTGAACACGTCTGAGGTCATACCACTAGATTTGGACATATTATGTTTTTTATTGACAAAAAACAGGATGGCCATTTGTACTAATCTATTATGGGACCTGCTTCAGTCTGAGTTCAGATGCCACTCCGTGCACACACACCTCACAGGATTGTGAAATTTGGTACAAATTATGCTGAAAGGATGGGTAAAATAATTAAATAGGATTCTTGAGTGTAGAGTTTTTAAGTTGTCAAACATTTGCCACTTAAAAAAGGTCTAAAATGACCATAAAAAAGACCTGACATTGTATAAAAGTATAAAATGTTATAATAAAATATAATAATTTACCACAAACAGTCCAAAGTCTAAGCTAACGGAAGTTGTTATTTTCTGCTAGGTGTGATTTTGACCCTGCCCAAAACTCAAACATTTTTAAATACAAAACTGAAATCTCACTGAGATAATATTTCATATATAAACACGAATTGTGCCGAGTTTGAATAAAATCCATGAAAACTGACTTGAATTTTTATTCTTAAATCTGCCAGTTTCCCATGGAACGGCCCCAAATGAATTTTATGGCCAAATGACTGAGAATTCTGTGCGTGGGTTTGGGGTGTGGAACATTATTTCTGATATAGCAGGTGATCTGTTTGAGACACAGAGCTCATCTTAGGGTTACATCCTAAACTATTTTTATTGTCTTCAAACTATATTTCTCACTATGATGGGCTTTTATTTTATATGTACGTTTACACAAGTTCATTTTAAACAATTTGCAGTGGGCCAAATGTATTCCTTGCTTATGCATTCTGAACATCCCAATTATTTTGAGTTTATAAGCGATTTTCACAACTCTCAGTGACTAGTGTGGAGGGTAACACTAACAGCAATGCTAATGCACAGTTCCTGATTATTAAACAACCAAATGCTTTCTAATTAGAAGCAGACAGCATGCAGTGAACATATTTAGACCTCAAGAGTTGTACTTTACTGTGAAACAAATTTTGCTCAAATACAAAACAACATGACCTTTACACTCCCGCCCATTTTTCAAAACTTTACCTCACAGCTGAACACTTTTAAGAAGGTATAAAAATCACAGTTGGCTTTTGTCGTTTCATTTTATGTTTACTGACTCTCACCTACACGCTAATTTGTTTACCACCAACCGGGTTTAAGAATCGGTTTATACCAGAGGGAAGAACTCCGGGGGCAAAGTCGGTGTAAAAACTGAAATGTGGAGTATTTGATTATTGTGGCTGGAGCAGGCCCCTGGTGCTCTCATGTGAAACGATGATTAGTTTGGTTTCCAGTGTCGCCGTCTGCCACCTGAGAAATAGTTACAATTCCTGTGTGAAACTTGTGCTCAGCTGGTACGCGCACTCTGGGGCACGCGCTTCCATTGCTTTGTCAGTGGAGATTGGTATGCGCAGTAGTGTTTTTATGTCTATGAAGAATCTCTAAAGGTAAAGCAGAGTTTTGTTTATATATTTATTTGTCTGTTTATCTATTTATTTGACAGGAACGTTGCACAATATATTTTGCACAGACCAGATTTAGCTACAAGTTTCGAAGGCTCTGGTTAAAGTAGAGTGGATAACGTAGCTCTACATACTACAAGTTTTTAATGACTTTGATGTAGTTCATTAAGTCTGAATAGACCAAATTTGAATAAAACAAATATAGATTATGATTATGTCTTCTCATCATTAAAAGTACTGTATGTAACTGCCTGGAGGTATTGTGTCACCTGCATGATTCCGTGGAAATAGAAAGTTATAGAGCCCTCTTAAAGGCGTGTGGTAAAAAGGGACTGTAGGTGAGTCTGTCATAAATTTAAAATGACATAATTTGTGGAAAATAATCCAAACCTGCCCTACATATCGACCCCAAAAATATCAGCAGAGCATATCAGCCATAAATTGCTATGCCACAGTCTGCAGTGGCCATGAAATTAAAATAAAACATATGGTCAATCATTTGTTAAAACCATACTTGGGTACCTACATTCTCCATGGAAATAAATAAGTTTTATGCTATACTTTGACAGATTATTGTCAAAGGAACAACAATTCCATGGAAACAAGCAGGCCAAGGAAGTTTTTCAGATCTCATACTGTGGAATATTCTAAGCAAAGCAATAGTATGTCCATGATGGACACATGCAGGTGGCCAACTCCCTCCAGAAAAGTTACATTTAACTTAACTAATCTGCAGCCTTCCTGCTGGCTGTAAGACTTCCAAAAGGCTGGATCAAAGCTGAGTTGGTATGCCTGATGGAGTTTGAAGATGATCATCATTATAAAAGTTAGCATGTCATCCCTGTTGGGTTCATAAATGTCAATTAGGCTGAGGGGAGATCTCCTGTATTTCCCAGAAGCACCCCTCCTCTCTCTCTCTCTCTCTCTCTCTCTCTCTCTGTCTCTCTGGAGGACAGGACTCATTTGGGAGTGTGCTGCACATGGAGCATGTTAAACACAGAGCTGAGCTGTAGCCCACAGTGAGAGCTTCTCCATTGCATACAGATGGAACACGCACTTCTGCTTTTAGTCGCATTACAGATGCTTTTGCTTTTGCTTTCTATTTGGATTTATCCTTGACAACTAACAATATGACAAATAAAAATTCAAAAGTCTCCTAAACGTACCACACAACTGAAGTAACTGAGATGTATTTTTACCCTCATACAGACCAAAATACATCAGTGTCATTGCACTTTGAACACTCATGTTATTCATTAAAGCAGAGTTGGCAAACCTTGAAAGAGAGAAAGAAGAAAAAAAAACATTAATGGACAATCCCAGGACCCTTAATGTAACAACTGTAAATAATTTAAGACAGCAAACATACAAAAAAAAGTTAATAATACTTTTATTTTAGCCTTTTTTTTTTCAAAGGTCAATGACAACTAATTTGTGACTCAAACTGTGTGTACCATTTTAAGATGTCTGTCTGAGAAAAGTATATTTTTAGACCAGTCTGAATCGCAGGATGCCCTGATGCCTGGGCAGAGGTCTGATTTGTTTAGTCCTTCCTGTTTCTTTACATTACTATTACATTATTACCTACCACAATGGTTTCATAAGGTTTCATAATACCCAGCGCCTGTGAGCCACTCTAATAAAGCATGTTGTTTTTATTTATTGCAGGGTGATCTCTGTGTATGAGTGTATGAGTTGATTCACGTTTTCTCGTTCGCTCCAAATACCTGGCCTTATCCTTAAAGACAAGCTTTCTAACATGTTACAACATTGCTCCCTCATCAATAGGGGAGTGCAAAAATATTGAAATATTGATATATCGTATCATTTAATGTGATGATACAGTATCAGTATCATGGGCTGCTGTATTGATATATCACCAAGAGTAATTTTTGGTACATTTTACTAAATTAGTTTGAGTAAGAGCTACAAAAGTGTTGACATTTTCACTATTTTGATGAGTAAAATTTGTGTTTTTCAAATTATCTTTGCACAAACTTCGTAGACTTAGTAAACTTTTAGTATCATAAACATGATTTAGCCTTTTTTACAATGAACCGTATCAAATCAATGTGAATTATACCGTATCGAAAGCTCACTGTATTGAAAAACGTATTGTATCATGGCCTATGTATCGAGGTATGTATCGTATCGACAACTTCTTAATGATACCCTAACCCTACTCATCAAAAACATTCCAGAGTGAAGAGCCATTCATACATGTTTGAGTGATCTAGGGATCTCTCCTGGGCCTACAACTTCACAAACCTGATGTGCTGTTCAGTACGTAGTTTAGTGTAGTAGTGGAATGCACGCTTGATTGTGTGTGGTAGCGCTCTGAAGGGGGAGTGAGATCAAAAGAAGGGGAAACTCACAGCATCAAAGACAAAACTGAAACCAATTACACATTTTAAAACATTGTTCTCAGCAAATATAGCATTATCAGAACAATAAAAGGTAACATGGAGATCTAAATATATTATGTGTTAGCTGTTAATTCCCCGTAGAAGCGTAATGCTCCTTCTTTCACTGCTACCTTCCGAGAGCCCACTTTGTTAATGAACATTTGAGTTTCATTAGGCTGTAGTGCTCCTCTCGTGTACACTATCAGCCTTATGTAAAACACTTGTGGTGCCACTCGCGGGTCTACATGTAGTCGCTTGTTAATTATTGAACAATGGTAACGCACAGATTCAATTCAAGACAGGGCACTGGATTCCCCATGGACCTCCAGTACCCACGTCTCAACCAGGATCATAAAGAACTACTACTTCCTCTGGGTCGCGTCTGCTCCAAGAGTGGATATAAGGCTTCTACATGAAATGCCTTCTGCCCAGTGACTAATGCAATGAGATGACACCTAATCTCTCTGGCTTTTTATGTCTTTGTACTGTATGCGCACGGACTTGAGATAAAAAAGTTTGCTCTGGAAGATAAATCTAAAGGGCATTCGCAATCAGCAAAGATGGTGTTAACGCGCAAAAGCACTTTCAGTAAATTCAGTTTTCCTGTTTCAAGGTGACGGGAAAGAAGCATAGTAAAGAACATAGTAAAATTTTGTGTGTTTATTTTCATCCATGTTGTAGGCCTTTTACAGTAATTACTATATGTATTTAACGTTGAGTAAATGATAGTTGGAACAGTATATTTTGGTGTTCATTATTTATCGTGGATGTGTGTTCTCTGCAATAGTGAGAAGATTTGCATTATTTTTGTTGTAATATGATACGATTTGAGCGGTGTGTTTTTCATGGCCGGTGCCAATTGTTTAGAGTCCAGAACAACTGATGGCCAATGAGATCTGACGGTATTTTTTGGCTGATTGCATAGAGCCGATTTGGATTATTTTTGCCAAATTATGTAACTTTAATTTACAACAAAATCAGCTACAGTGCCTTTATTTACCACAAGCCTTCAAGACGGCTGCAAAGTTATCTGTTTTCATTAAGGTGTTCAAATAAAGCTTTGTGTGTATTCAAAACAAAATATCAACCTGTGCTGGAGATTTAAGGCCTGTAACCAATTCATTAAAAAATGCAAATACCTGCCAATATATCGGTCTATCTCTACTTATTAGGGATGGGAGAGTTGATATCGAAGTATTGATATGTAGATAATGACTCAGATGTGGGCATTGTATCGATATCAAAAATGTATTAGTAATTAAAAAGTAATTATTACTTAATTCTAGTTGTTGCAGCACATGCCTTTTAATGATATTGTCTGTTTAATAATAAATAATATGGTTTGTTGGGATTTTCTTGCTACTACTTTGTCAGTGGTTAGCCAGGCTGGTGCCACCTAGTGCCTCTTCTAGTTTCTTTCCAGCGACTAGGTCAGGAATTGGAATACATTAGATGGTTTGCAAGAAACCCTGGAAGTTGGCCAGTGTGTGGTCTACAATCAGCAAAGAGCTATGAAGCCATAACGTCAAACTCAAGTGTTTGTCTGGGTCCCTTTTGTGGTACAGCACAACTGTAAATAAAACGGTCAGTACGGTGGATGGTGGATGTAGACGAAGACATACATTCTGTATTGGCAACGATTCCCGAGACCGAGGATTTAAAGCTGGAACAAAGAGAATGTTTGGTGAATTTTATCAAGGGGAAAAACATTATTGCCCTTCTTCCTACGGGTTTTGGCTCATTACATATGTCACGACCAAATAGCAATGATTGGTTAAATAAAAAAAAGTACCTGCCTACCGTTGAACGAACAAATCCTAATGCTGCAAGGTCAGACGGTTTCCATGAAGTGAAACGAGCTGATGAATCAGGCTAGTCAGTGGTAGGGGTGTGCAGAAATAGTAAATCTGGTGATACAGTATTGATATTGTTGGTTTTTCTATGTTTTGCTAAATCATTTTCAGATGGTACTTTTTAAAGGAAGTAAACTTGTGTAGAATTTAGAGGACGTAAACATGTTTACAGTTTAGAGGAAGTAAACTTGTATCTCAGAATACCATGTGACATATGTGGATTATCATGTATTTCCATATTGTGCTAATGTTGTATCGTGTATACATATCGTGTGATCCTGACGGTCCTTCGGTAAATAATGTTGTTTTTCCAGATGTGGAGGGGGAGTGGAGAGGTCCGTTCTGTTTCATCCAGGGTGCAGACCCTCAGCTGGGCTTGATGAAGTCATGGAAAGAGGGCGGAGAAGGAGATGAGTGGGCGGAGGAAGTGGAGCTCACCAAACAGGCTGTGGAGGCGATGAACAGACTACAGCCCAGACCCAGGTTCATGGTGCTGTGTGGAGACCTGGTCCATGCCATGCCAGGTTAGAGACACAACGTACAGAAGCATGTTAAAGATCTGGTTTGATTTAATCTATTCAGAATGACTTGCATATACTGTGTACAAGCTTCCCTAATGGCAAGGTAGATGAATAAAGGAGATTGAACTGCCAACTTGTAAATACTTGAACATCCATTGGAAATGTTCAGGAATAATTTCAAGAAGGGCTCAAAAATTTATTGTATTTTAATCAAAATTTGAATTGCAATTAGCAAATCGCAAAAGCTGCTCAAACAAACTGTCTTATTCTGGATAAAAACTGCTGACCCTGTAGTTTAATTATCTATATGATGAATTCTAGAAAGTGATTCTTTTATTAGCTTGTCAATTAATATTTTAGTCTTTTGTCAATTCTTCTTGACTTTTCACAGAATCTGATTATTAAAACATAAATCACAAATTTAATCGCAATCAGAATGAAAAACAGCATACATACAAGTTTCTCAATAGCAAGGTAGATAAAAAGGGGATTGAAGTGGAAAGTTGTGAAATGTTTGAACAGCATATATCGTTGCCTTGAAGAGCTGGAGTTGTGTTTTGTTTCTCACACGTTTCAGGAACCCTTTTTTTAACCTTTATTATTAGGCTGTCTACATCTCCAAAGCTCAAAACACTTGCGATGAAACAGTAGTTTTCAAATTAACAGCTACCTTTATCTTTAGGTCAGTAGAGATTGGCCATTCCTGGGCTGAAATCATCCAAGTGATTCTAGTGAAGGTGTATGGAGTTAAAAAACACAGTGGATCTCAGCCTAAATACCCAGGGTTTGTGTGTTAAACAATGAAACAAAACACAACTCCAGGTCTGTTTTTGATGAGGAAATGACATTAGAACAGATCAAAAAATAGTGTAATATGAGCCCTTTAAGGTAAGTAATTACAAGCAAGTACAACTAAATCTGGCGTGCTGGACAGCCTTTGCCTGTAAAGTCTGTGGCAGATGTCTCGTCATCTGGCAAAATAACAAAATCTGGTTCAAACTGTTCCCCATAAAACATTATCGTAAGTATTTCTACAAAAAGGTAAGCATAATAGTAGTATTCAATCTTGCTGTCAGTGCGCTATAATCTGCAATATGCTTCATGGTTATACAAAGCACAGCAAAACTACATTTGACGAACTTGAGCGACCTCTGATTTTAGCATATAGATACGTTTTTTCCTCCTTGTATTTATAAATGTGTGACTTCATGCTGTTTCTCGGAATAATTCGAAATCACCTGCTGTGTTCTTATAGCTACAGCCCACAGCACACGCCTGGACTACCTTCTTTTACAGGCAGCTCTTCTTTAGCGCTGTATGGACAATGAGTACACTCCACACTGGCATATGCTTAAGTGTCTACCCGTTACCATCTTAATCTCACTGAACATAAACTCCCAGATGCTGTGGGTCCTTAACTCTTTGTGTCACCTCTCCCACTCAAACCGAATCAAGCAGTAGCGCCCCCATGAGACCCATTTCGGAACATCCACTCGTGCAGATGTTATACGTGCTTAAAGAGACTCTGAGATGACATTTAACTGCGGTGACTCCACATTTCACACATTTTCGAGTGCTCACCAGTCAAACGGTTTTACAGCGTGCGCAAATGACAAACAGCCCCGTTCTCATTATGTGGTATGTTATTGGAATTAGAGGCAGCCAACAAAATACTATGAAGTGGCAAATTACACAGTCAATAAATCAAGTATCTTTCAAATTGAATGTTATGTAAAAGGTTTTATTCTCTTGTTTTGATACACCCATATAGCTCAGTGTGACAGTAATAGAATTCTAATCTATAAAACATTAAGGACCTTGAAGGATATATACAATTGTGCGGTGTGCAGATCCCTAGATATTCTTTTATGGCCCGTGAGATGACAGGCAGGATTAAGAGGACTAATAAAAGCATAACAGTGACGATGCTCCTCAGTTCACCGATTAAAAAGTAGTTAACTTAAATGTGCTCTATGTAACTTTTTGGTGGAAGGTCTGCTTACCTGCTTGATTCCATGCATAGAGAAGTTAATGCTTTGCCTAAATGCAGTAGCCAGGCTGGTGCCACTTAGTACCTCCGCTCAATTTTATTTCTCTCCAACAACTAGGTAAGGAATTGGAATATACAAGACGGTTTGCTAGAACCTTGGAAGTTCGAGTCCGGGCACCAGACAATTAGCGATGAACAAAAAGAATGGTGAATTTTACCAAGGGGATTGATGTTATTGACCTTCTTCCTACAGGATTTGGGAAAAGCTTAATATACTAGTTAGTCCCGTTAGCGGCGCACTACACTACATGCGTCACAGCAAAATAGCACTGATTGGTTAAATAAAAAAAGTTTGCTCGCCTACCATCAACCAAACGAATTCTAAAACTGCGAGGTCAGATGGTTTCCACAAAGTGAAACCGGCTGATGAATTAGGCTATAAATGCATTGCTGTATGGCCTTAAACCTATCTATCTTAATAATAATAATGCATCAGTCTTATATAGTGCTTCTCCAGACGCTGAAAGTCACTTTACAATTCCATACAATTCCATTATTCATTCACTCCACACTCGATTACTGTTGTAACCACAGCTGCCCTGGGTCAGACTGACAGAAGTGAGGCTGCCAATTGACGCAGTTGGCTCCTGTGACCACCATCACCATTCACACACACACCACTTTCATACTAGTCAATGTGAATGAAGTGTCTTGCCTAAACTGGCACCACACTGTACCACTTGGCTTTCCCAGTGCTCTCCCATCCAAGTATTAACCAAGCCCGGCCTTGCTGAGATCTGACATCAGGTTTCGACAAGAAGGTTTGGCCACACTTCTTGCTTAATATGCTACTGTGGGAGATTCCAGGAAAGGTAATGGCATCTTAACAGAGACTATCAGGTGGCACACCCTCCAGCAGAGAGGCCCTTCTTTAAACTAGTTTATTTGTTCATTTTAAACAAACAAAAAATCTGTGTCAACTGAAATGTGCTTCAATTGGTATAAAGTCATTGCAACTGTAAGTTATATCCAATTGCAAATGAATTGATGAAATGGTGAAATATTCCAAACATCTGCAGTTATATGATTAGTGAAAATTATTTATGCAGTAATTCCTTATGTTCCAGAGTTTCATCCATATTCCCACTCTCACTCTGGATCCTCATCAACATTAGCTTAGCCGCTTTCGTCACTATAAAGAGAATAAAACATGGCGGAAACGTATTGATTAATATATTCTCAGCTGTCTTCTGAGATTAGCCATAATCTAATTAACGCTCTCAGTAAAGAGCACCATCTTTGGGATGCTTCAATTACACAATATTTCAGATTTTCTTGGGGTTCCGAACTTCCGTCTGCTCTGCTTCCCAGCCCAGAGTCGGTAAACAATGAGCTTTCCCATGACGGCTGCTGCTATTTATTTATGAAAAAGCATGCGCGGCCCTGTGGCTATTTTCAGGCATCTTTACTTTCCGTGCGCATGATTTCAGCTATTGATCACAAACCCGCCAGACTTCCCATTTTTGAAAACCGAGCAGCTATTTAGGCAAGGCACGGACAGCTTCTCGCTCCAGACAGTGCAGCTGGAAGCAAAAAAGCAGCCGGCACACTTTGTTGCTGTATTTATCTTGCCACAACCACCTGGGAGCATCCGAAGCCATACACTTTGACTAGCGGTTACAGAGCGAGGATGTGACACTTTTTTTTTTTTTATTTACAGCCCTCTCTTGTAACACGACTGTTTGTTTTTCTTTCCATCAGTGTCCAATTGATTCAGCCTTTCCATGTTATGCCGAGAGTTTGTCATATTAGATGTCTTGGAAGCAGGACAGCAAAAACTGACTCCTAATGCCACCGTAGCAGCTGGTTCTCCTATCCACCAGATGCTTCCACTGTCGTGCCAGACAAATAGATTTTCTGGGGGCCCTCACCGAATAGCTGGTCGGGGTAAACAGCATCATTTCGCCGGTGTTTTTGTCTTCCCACCTTGTTTGGAACGACAAGTGGTATTTGACACATGCCCGCGCTGTGTTTTTTCTTCGGATGTTTTTAAGAACCTGCAAATACAAAGTGACCAAGCTCCACTCTTGTGTTTTTGTGGCTTGGCAGGAGATATTAGCGTGTTTAAAGTCACTGTGATGAAATAAGTGACCGTGATGCGTTGTTTTGGCTACGCCCAGCTGTCTGATTTTATAAGCGGGGAAGGAATGGAACTGGCGTAGCTGACTGTGGTGGTAATATTGAGTAAAAAAGAGCTGTGAGGAGCTAACCAAACCAGACTACCTTTGCATGATAATTAGGCAACCAGCGTGAAGTTCCTTGCTGTAGGGAAGTAGAAGCTAGAGAAAAAGGTGTCTATAAAAATCTCTGGGTATGTTTTTTACTTAGTCAGATTTGAGTAAAATGGCACAGTTTGAAGCTTTTCTTTCTTTTTTACAGACCAGTCCCTTGAGCCTCCAGGTTAGGGCTGCACAATGAATCAAATTTTAATCATATCAAGAGGCAATCATTTCAAATCGTCAGTGATCAGCTCGGGGCTTTTTACACTTCATCCTCTGCAAGATGTTTGGAGTTCATTGCACAGTAAAAGTCTGTCTCGTTTATGTTTGTGAAATTCAAATTAATTATTTGTAAGGGCCTATATTACACAAAATTGACTCCTGTGGACTTTGAGCTATGTTACAATGCTGTTACCTCATCAAAAACTTACCTGGAGTTGTGTTTTGCTTCATTCACATATGTTTTAGCACTGTATTTTTCGGACTATAAGTCGCTCCAGAGTATAAGTTGCATCAGCCAAAAAATGCGTAACGAAGAAGCAAACAACATATATAAGTTGCACCGGACTATAAGCCGAACCTTTTGGAGGTTTTTTGGAGGTAAATTTATAAAATCGGAGACCAAGATATTTCATCTTGAAAGGCAAGTTATAGTAATGACAATAGAACAGAGAACAATAGGCTGTTAACGTCACATATGAACAGTTATTCAGAGCATAAACAACATACCTTCA